GACATCTTGGAAACATTTTAAAAAAAAAGACCAGAAAATGGGGTTACCAAAATTTAAAAAACTGGCTACCGTAAATGAATTGTGACTCAATTGTCTATAATTGGATATAAATCAAACTCTTCTTTCTCACAGCAATAATGTGTGGATTCGAGGAAATAATTTATGCAAGAGGGTGAAATTCTAAAAAAGGTGTCTAGGTCACTGTTTTTATTGCTTAACATATTTTCAATAGCATAACGATCATCGTCGGAGCCAATCTGAAAATGTATTCAAGAAATCATAAGAAATTGAAAGGCAGAATTTTTTCTCTGCCGAGGCCCTGCACGTTATGTTCGGTGCACTGTGTTTACGCTTCTGGCCTAATGCTCTACACTATATTCTGTAATTTATTTGTTCATATTGCCAAATTATAGTTGTAATTTTTATATCATCGCGATCAAAATCATCCTAGGCAATAAAATAGTGATGGCTAGAAATTTCCCCTGATATTTTTTTACAAGGTATCACTGTTAGCAAACATTTTATTTATAAATCTAAAACAAAATGTTTAAAAAGAAACAGCAAACAACAGTAAGTCGTATATATTAAACTTTAGAGTTGCTTAGAGTTGCTTTAGAGTTTAAACTTAGAGAGTTGCCATACTCTACAGTGGCGCAACGTTTCCGACGTCTCCGACAATAATATCAATGAATGAACTTTCCTATATTTTTGAAAAGCTTCTTGTCATATCTTCAGATTTTTCGTGACAACTTACATCATTGATGTACATTATTATAATTCTATAAAAACATATGAGTATTTTTCTATAACATTTCTATAACGAATTTACTAGTCACATTAGAAACTTATTATCTAACTCATTTGACCAGTTTCAATGACCAAAAGTATTCTACTTTTAATTGAACATTAGTGAATATTTATATGAAGTATTGCATGAAATTGTAACGTTTCGCATAGTTGTTCAACAAAGAAAAAAGAGCTAGAAAGAAACAAATATACTAGCCGTTTCAAGACATTTTTTTAAATTTTGAAAATAAGAGCAGGGGTGAAGCCGCAGATTTCCTTTGCTTGGAGTGCGGGTTGGCGGGGCAAGGCGTAAAACAGACCGCGGGCCGCGGGGCAGGCACATATCGCAGGGAAGTGCAGTCGTCGCCCGCCCGCGCCTAGCCGACGCCCGTGCCCGCGCGGGGCCGTCTCCGCCGTGCGGGCAGCGCCCGCCTCGCTCCCCGTG